ATATATGCATATGAGAAACCGATGCAGTAACGGGTGGGGAGATATCGAAAGTCCCCCCACTCGGTCTACCAAAAGATCCTTCAATGAATTGTTCGGTGAGCCGTAAAAGGATAGACCAATCAATGCATCAAACAAACAATCAATCAATCAATCAATCAACCAATCAATCAATCAATCAATCAATCAATCAACCAATCAATCAATCAATCAATCAATCAGTAAGACAGTGACACCCTCACGAAGCAATCATTCAATCAATCGGTCAATTGATCAATCAATCAAGCAATCAAACAATGAGTGTAACAATGTGACGAAGTGACAATTGACCAAACAATGATATTGTCTATCGAACGATAAAACAATTGACGTTCACGATGAAGGCAGATATTGCGGAGTCGTTAAAAAAAAAAAAAAAAACCCTGCTATGACATGTGAAGTGACGGCGTTCACATACGGGAAAGCGAGCAACCGACCAATCAGGATAGAGAGAGAGAGATGGATTATAGTCCTGGAATGCTAGAAATGGTAGGGAGAGAGACAGAGAGAGAGAGAGAGAGAGAGAGAGAGAGAGAGAGAGAGAGAGAGAGAGAGAGAGAGAGAGAGACGAGCGATACAAGTCCTTCTGAAAGAAAAAGAAAAAAAAACAGCACTCATGCTCGGTGCATTAACTGCGCGCGCACACACACACACACACACACACACATACATACACACACACACACACACACACACACACACACACACACACGCGCACACATCGCCAATTGCGCTATCTCCACGGACATGGCGGCGGCGCACCATGAACATCCACATGATGGGCCACGTGTCCGATCAAGGCAGCCTTGACCCTCGCGCCGAGGTCGGATCCGTAAGTCGGATCAATCTCCGGCACGGCTTCGATGTTCAGATCAGGAAGGTGACGTGGAAATCGGCGGTTGCGGCGCCGACGTCGGCGGGGGTTGCGTGGCTGCCCGTCACCCTCGCTGTCGCTACTGTGGTTCAACAGCTCCGGGTCGATCTCCACCCTGTGCTCAATCATGAGGTTGTGTAGTATGCACACAACCATAAATTCCTTGCGCAGCGTCTCCAAATTCACGATCTGAGTGCGGATGAAATTCCTCCACACGGTCTTCAAACGTCCGAATGTCCGCTCTATACAGGATCTCACCGCCGAGTGACATCCGTCGTAAGTGCGATCTGCATCAGTTCTGGCGAATCTTCCCATAGGTGTCATGATCCACRGGAGAATGGGGTAACCGGYATCTCCAAGYAGGTAACGACCCACGTGTGTCCCGTCGTGCAGGATAGCTCCACCTTCGCATAACACACCTCTGCCTGCCATGGTGTTGTGGTACAACGGTGACATACRCAACACACGAGAGTCGTGCACGGAACCASGGCAACSGACRTACACGCTGACAATTCTGCACTCGCTATCACACACCACCTGGGCRACGACARAGAAGTCTCSAGTGTGATGATAGTAGCACTCTGACCGCGTGCCCTTCGGCTTGTCAATGTACACGTGTGTGCAGTCGATGGCCCTCACACATCCGGGAAACCCCTTTGCCTCGAAAGCGTTCTGGACCTCTTCCAAACGCCTTCCTGTGGGTAATTGGAGCAGGTGTCCGTACTCTTGAAGGATAGCATCTGCGACGTCCTC